ATTGAACCAAAACCAAAACTTCCATCACAAAATTCTCTGGACCGATGAAGCAACGTTTAAAAGCAGTGGCGATGTTAATATTCACAACGCTCACTATTGGTCTCGTGAAAACCCGCATTGGCTACGTGAAGTGGATAACCAGAATGTTTGGAGTCTTAATACCTGGTGCGGCATTTTAGGAGGCCGAATTATTGGTCCGCATTTCTTTGACGGCCATTTAAACGGGGCCGTGTACAACGATTTTCTGGAGAACATCCTCTATGACCTTCTAGACAACGTCCCAATTGCAATACGTGCAGAGATGTGGCTGCAACAAGACGGTTGCCCAGCACATTTTTCGAGAGTATCTCGCCAAACTGCCAATCGTCTCTTTCCTAATCGCTGGATGGGAAGAGGAGGTCCGTTTCCTTGGCCAGCTCGTTCCCCTGACCTGACACCACTTGACTTCTTCCTCTGGGGACGAGTCAAAGATATTGTTTATCAACAGCGCCCAACCACGAGGGAGAATATGAAGGAAAGAATTCGAAACGCATGCCGTTTGCTCAATGAAAATGAGGTGCTTAGGGCAGTCGACAACGTCCGACTTCGGCTACAAAACTGCATCAATCAAAATGGAAGACATTTTGAACATATTAATTAATATTTATTTCGTAAATAACACTTTTTACAAAAAAAAATGTTTCCTACAAAAGTTGTTTGTTTTCAAAATACCTATCCAACGATACCACACAAGACCTAGGGTTCCATTTGAAATTCTGAAGTTGAGTGCTGTTACGCCTACTTCCGGTTAATTCCGGAAATAGAGACTACTACCATTAAATTCTTCAGGTAGGCTTTGGTAATGAAAATTTTTTTCCTAAAACTCTAAGGCGTCTCTATTCCAAGATAAAAGCCTGGGACGGGTGCTCTGATTCACCCTGTACAACGTATTGGTCGGTTATTTTTAAGAATTTGCAACAAATGCTTATTTGACGTAATCATATTCATAACATCCGTAAAAGAGCCGATCTGTGGATATTAATTGTAGGAAGCTTTGATTTTCAGATTTAAAAGGGAGATAAAGGGCCAACTTTCCGCAAGGTAAGGGGTATTTAAATTGTATTACAGAGCTAGCAGTACGCAAAAGCAATTGTTATAGGAAAATTTGTACCAGTGCCACAAAGGATTTGTTTAATACGGATAAGAGTCTTCAACTCTTGTAGTGTAACTAACCGTTACACAATACACATGTCACACTTCACCTTCAGAAATGTTAAAAATTATTTTTTTCACTACTAGCGTCTGATGACATGATTATTAACCTTTTTTCCACTTGTAAAGTAGGCTTTCTCGGCATTTGTTCAAAGTGGTTAATAATTTTTTATTATTAACTAGTAGTCAATAATGAGAACTGTCATGCTGTCACTTTTAGAAAACACAACCCGAAATTTCGCTCAATGAACGTTTAGACAAGTTCTCTAAAACGAATAATTGCCACCATTCGCAATTTCCAGAGAAATTACATACCTAAAATTATCACATTTTGAAAAAATTCGAACGAAATTACTCTTTGAAAAATCTCAATGACAGAACAAAATACGGCCTGTTTGACTTGTACTTCACGTACTTGATTGACATGTTAAATTAAGAAACAAACAATTCTGTCCAACCGTTAACTCTCTTATCAATATAATATGTTAATTTAGAGGATTTCAAATGCTAGTAGTGAAAAAAATAGTATATATACCACGGTAGAGAAGTCTATTATTGCCTTCGCACCTTACACCCTTCGGCGCAAGCGCCTCGAGATGTAATCTTGGTGCTCAGGCAATAATACTGTACTTCTCTACCTTGATATATAATGTACTATTTTTATTATACCTGAATCACAATCTCCGTTTTAAACACTCAAATGCGTGCGAAAAAAGGCCTTTAAAACACACGTGCTTTAAAGTTGCTAAGTAACGATACTTCAAGTATGACTTTTGAAACTGTCATCTGGATGAAATAAAAAATCTTCCCAAGTCGCTTTCTGTAAATGCAGAACATTTCTTTGGCTTGTACCCATAGAACAACAAACTTAGAATGGAAACTCTAATGTAATGTAAAAATGACGCGCCTCCTCGTGTATGTTCTCAGCAGCTTTTGCGTGAATGGCGCCAAATTTAAATATTAAAATGTAAGCTACGTCCGCATTATACTGCATTTCTCCGGATCTGTAACAATAACATTGGATTTGACTAGCTGAAACCTAAAAGGTAAATGAATCCAGCCAGTGAAGTCCAATTTTGTTTGTTAGAGATCCAGATAAATTCAGTTTAATGCCGATGCACCTCAGCAGTCAGGGACTTCAAAGAGTACAGACCACTTGTTTTATAAGTAACAACTCCAATTAATCCAATCAAGGAGTTATATTTAATTTAATATGGATATACAAGATACAAGATCAACTTCATGGAACTCTACTTTATGATGCTCTCAAGATCGTTCTAAAAACAAAATATGTAGCAATTTATTACAATTCAATTAGTGTTACCTGCTAAAGATAATGTGCGTACTGCCACACGCTTTAAACCTCTTCGTGTTCCACGTTCTAAAGCGCAACCAGAAAAATGGCGTTCACAAACCAAAAACTTTTGTGTAAATTTCTTCCAATAAACCAATTCTTAAAAACTTCGGGCTCCATTTTTGGGAAACGTCTTCACAATTTGTCACACAACATTTACGTTTTCGATTTGTATACGCATAATTCATTGTAGTAATGAATAGTAATTATACTTAAAGTACAATAAGTCGTCAATCAAAATTCAAAATTCAACTGTCATAATGGCGACAAGTACTAAAGTCACTAGTTTTAGTAACTTTAACACGCACGCTAACTATGCGCCATCTATTGAATGTTCTCCAAACTAATTATATTTGTACTCAGTTGTTCCCGTTTACGTTTCCCTTCTAAGTTTTTTGTTCTGGGCTTGTACCTATCCTTTGGTTGAAGCTTTTACAAACGCGCGTAATTTAGGGCATGCTTCCAAATCTGTTCCACTTTTTAGTCCCAGCAATAAGTGAAGTTTTGAATGAATGCACCAAAAGATAGAAGATTTAAATACCTTTGACATTTCCTTCATTTATGCCAGCATTATTGATGCATTTAAGACTTTATTCGTAAGTAACTTCCTATTCATCCAAGGAAACAACTTTTCATATGCTTGATAATAGGCTTTACTGGATTGAGATTTTACACCTACCAACGTTTGTTTAGATTTTACAAGCGATTTAATGGACGGTGTATTATCTTTTTCAACGGAAATCGTTTTATTCACAAAGACGACAATTTTTATAAGCCAACGTCAAGTGACATTTCCATTGCAATCGTGAAATTACGAACACCCAGCCCACTTAATTAGACGTGTATTCGAGTATAACGTCAATATGATTTCATTGAATTTCCTATTTTTAAATTATACTGCAGGTATAATAAAAAATACTATAAGATACACATGTATAATTGGTCTTTAAAGCACTTGCAACGTTAAAGGCACTCCGCTTTGCGTCGTGCCTTTAAACTCGTTGCGCGTGCTTTAAAGACTTGATTATACACTTGTATCTTAATATACTATTTTATTATACCTGAATCACAATCTCCGTTTTAAACACTCAAATGCGTGCGAAAAAGGGCCTTTAAAACACACGTGCTTTAAAGTTGCTAAGTAACGATACTTCAAGTATGCCTTTTGAAACTGTCATCTGGATGAAATAAAAAATCCTCTTAGGTCGCTTTCTGTAAATGCAGAACATTTCTTTGGCTTTTGTACATATCCTTTGGTTGAAGCTTTCACAAACGCGCGTAATTTAGGGTATGCTTCCAAATCTGTTCCACTTTTTAATCGCAGCATTGCTTTAAAGTTTTGAATGAATGCACCAAAATATAGAAGATTTAAATACCTTTGACATTTCCTTCATATATGCCAGCATTATGGATGCATTTAAGACTGTATTCGTAAGTAACTTCCTATTCATCCATGGAAACAACTTTTCATATTCTTTATAATAGACTTTACTGGAGTTGGATTTTACACCTACCAACGTTTGTTTAGATTTTACAACAATCGATTTAATGGACGGTGTATTATCTTTTTCAACGGAAATCGTTTAATTCACAAAGACGATGATTTTTATAAGCAAACGTCAAGTGACATTTCCATGGCAATCGTGAAATTACGAACACCCAGCCCACTTAATTAGACATGTATTCGAGTATAACGTCAATATGACTTCATTGTATTTCCTATTTTTAAATTATACTGCAGGTATAATAAAAAATACTATAAGATACACGTGTATAATTGGTCTTTAAGCACTTGCAACGTTAAAGGCACTCCGCTTTGCGTCGTGCCCTTAAACTCGTTGCGCGTGCTTTAAAGACTTGATTATACACTTGTATCTTAATATACTATTATATTTAAAATGCAACTATAATGCCATTTAAATCGTTAAGAAGACGTCGTTGGAATATTCCTTGAAGAGAAAACTATCCAATACTTACTAAATTATTTTAATTCCAGTCTAGTTTATCCTAGTTACCCCTTTCTATAGTTCTATCTATTTACGAAGCGCTGTGATTGCAGGTTGGCAAAGATTAAAGGTTTCGGATTCACCATCGACACAAAATGGCAGTTGCTTGACAGGTGAGATGTCTTGATAAGAAACCCTGTAATTATCGTGGAAGTAGAGTTGACTTTGAAATTTACACTCGGAACTATTAAAACTGGAAACCCAAAGCTTGAACCCCAAAAATAAATTAACATGTGTTGGCACCAGGGAAGATAGATGGCGCAGGGGAGAGGGAAGCGGCCATTCTGTGAGTGTGTGTGCTGCCAATTATTGTAGTTCGTTTCGTAAATCGTAGTTAATGAAATATTAAATCCTGATACTGGCGTGTGTATTAATTGTTTGTCCCCTGGCGACAACACATGTAACATACATATAATCATCAGGTGTGAAAGAAAGATAAAAACTAAAAATCCATTTGTAAAATTTATTCGTAAATTGCAGTACTCATTGCAATGCATTTTGACAGTTACTGTTACTGCAGTATAACCTTTGCAAGTCCCTCGTTGCCTATTCGAACCAATTGCACCTTGTCACCATACGTAACAAGCTTATGCGAAGCAATTTCTCGGACGGGGAGTTCCACAACTCTATACGTTGGACTTTCTAAATTAGCTTTTAGTACACCCAACGATTCTAGCCCTCCCAGCGTAAGAGCCGATTTCAGAGTTGGAATTTCCGCCTTGATGAATTCTCGTGTAATTGGTACCGAAGTACGAAAGACCGGAATTTCGCTCTTATCAGAAGTCACTAATGGGATTGTTTCTACAGTTTTGACGGCGGGTTTCAAAATTTCTTGAATGTCGGCACTTTTAAGGACAGGTATTTCAGTTCTGACAATTTTTTCGGGGACCGCTTCTACAGCTCTTACCAATGGCACGGAGGTTTGTACCAATTTCTCGGTGTTTCCAAGAATTTTTTCGGATTCGAAGGCAATCTGGCCGATTCTTACCAAAGGAGAAGAAGTTTGAATCAATTTATCGGTGAAGGAGACTGGTTCCAGTTTAAAATTGTTGTCAGTTCTTAGAAGCGATATTTCTCCCTTTACTAGGCTTGGTGAGTCGATCGCTAGCTGAGTTGTTCTCAGTATGGGGGAGGTTTGAACAAATTTCTCGGCGATGGGAAGTCGTTCTGTGGCGATTTCGTCGGTCCTTAGAACTTTGGTGGCAAGCACTTTTTCCTCGCCCAATCCAATTTGACTTGACCTAAGCAATAAGGTTTCGGGCACATTCTTGGCGATGACAACGGTTTCTAGAGGTGCAGTAATTATTTTTTCAGCAGGAAGTACAATTTTCCCATTTGCTAAGTGGGCACCTCGTAGTACTTCTAAGTGTTGAGACTTGGCGAGAGCCACTTCTGGAGTGTCTTGGACCGGTGTGGGAATATCGGGACTTGCCGCGTGGAAACCATGCGAGCCAGACATAAAGACCGTTTTACGAACAATTCCGTGTGGATCGATGAATGAAAATGCACCGTTAACGTTGCCATCGATCGTACGTTGTTCTACTCTTGAAATTCCATCTATGTCGTATTTGAGTTGATAGTTACCAATATTGTCTTGTTTGACATTTACAACCTGTGCATGTTCCGATGCTGCCACCGAAATAAGTGCGAACACAGCAACCTAAAGGAATCGACATTTCGAGATTAGTTATAAACTAAAATAGTTTACTCACCAATATCTGCATGGTGTTGTCAATGGCCAACCATGAAACTGAACCAGAAACGCTCGTCTTGATCTTAAATACTCACAACGGGGGCCAGATACTAATTGATTTCAAATAACATAAGTTAATAATTATTATTTAATGGAAACTTTAGATAGACAGTCATTGTGAGTCATTTCAGTATAATAGAGCATGTTCGCTACTGCATAAAATATATAATACTTTTTATGCGCAAAAAAAGAATCACAAAAGATAGTGTTAGCTTATTGAATGAAGAGGAAAGCAAAGATAAAAATTTTTAGACGAATTAAAAGAAAAACTCAAGGTAATTACGGAGAAGTTTTCAACTAATTAATTTTCTAGGACACCCGACTCAGATTTATTCATTAAAACTTAATATTACGGTAATTATTATATTATGACACAGTGGTTTTTAATTGTTTTAAGTAAGAGGTTTACGAAAGGACACATGAGTGTGGTGGAAAATCCATGCGTGCCAATTCCGAATACGCTGTTCATTGCCAACTCTTGTGCTCTAGTAATTAATCTAGAAAACAAAATTATATTTGCAGAAATAATTTACTAATTCACATGGCAATTATAACACCACTAAAGCTGCAAGTGGTCGAGCCCTTTACGTACTCAAAATTACTTTTTGCCCCCCCCCCCCTCTATTGGTTTTAGACCTTTTGACTTGCTGACATCGGTTTCAGCAGGATTCGCTAAACTCCTCAATCTTCGACCCATAATATTTCCCGCACGTTTAATAGGCGAAAGGTCTAGAAGTCTGGTTAACCATGGCAAAAGACTGAAGACTAAATTCTTCAAGTCCAGATGTTGTTGTATGAAGACAAGCACCGCCTTGCTGCTAAAGTGGATCCCAACTCCTGAACGATTGCTTCGAATGAATGAATGTCAAACGAGATTTTTCTCATGGACTATACCACCCCATACCAGGAAGAACCAGAACATTTTTTGCTTACAACATTACTAGGAGAACTAACAAAGAAAATTAAAGTTAACCGATATATCCCCCTGCTAGTAGGATATGCAAATTGTGCAAGTTTCAGACACCCAAAAAAATATGTACAGGGTGGCCAACTAAGAATGTGAGGTACTGTATCTGAGAATCTATCCATCGTAGAGGCTTGCGGTAAAAAAAGTTATTACTAAAACGGCCACGAGCAAAACCTAGAAAATATTTTTAAGTTTCGGAAATGACCGCTAGGGGGCGTAACTGCAATCTGGAATCTAAAAAAGTGATGTTTCTGTGAATTCCGCTATATTAACCTAACAAAAAAATGTCCGGTCTTTGAACTCGACGATAATCTGAACCATTTTTGGTAGACAATTTTTCCTAGTCTCTAAAAATGAAGTGGTGGGGGATATTCATAGGTTTCCGTAAAGAACACCCTGTATCTTCATTACATTCAGATTATACGAACCATACATCCGGAGCGAGACGATGCCACAACCGAGCGTATGTCTTATGAAAACCAAATTAAAAATTCGTGAGTGCAAATGACGGAAATTTGACGGCCTAAGTGAAGTCAAATATCAAACTCCATTATACGCACATACGGAGACGGCGATTAACACTTAAACCGCAATATCTCGAAAAAGGTGCGTCGTAGATGGAGGTTCATGGGTACCTTTGGAAAGCTCTCGACCTAACTCGACTATTCAAACCTCCGAATGCCTAAATTGGACGAAATCGGACGGTAAACTGTAAAATCGACGTTTAACCACAAGATAAAGTGAGTGCAAAAGTTTGGTTTTAGGTCTCTAATGGGCAATTGCACCGTCAAAAGTATCGCTTAAAGCTAAGCTTCACTTAAATGCCATAGCAACAAACAAAATGGGCGCGCCAAAAGTCGTACAGCACATGCGCAATTAATTTGTGGGGTAATTTGATCGAAATTTGTATAGTAAGTCCATCTAATAAGCAAACAAAAAATGAAAATACAAAAAATCGTATTGCGCTGAATATAGATTACACTCCCAAATATACACAAACGTAAAATATCCCATTTTCGGCGGTATTTGTGCAAAATTATAGTGTAGTCTTAAAATGCGGGGCATGTTTACCAACCTATAGGTATATAATGAGATTGACTAAGAAATAGACTATCGATATACTGGTGCTTTTTTGAGCCAAATCAAATTTCTGTTCACTTTTTAGATTATTCCAATGACACAACTCAATATTTATTATCACGGCACAAAACTTCTCCCCCTCACAAAGAAGAGATTCGACTCTGCTCTCAGTTAACCTATTAACTTCTAACAGATTTAATCTTAACACACAAAAGGAAAATGGTACAATAACACAAACAATTATTACTATTAGACTAAAATTATGACTGAACTACTTACATTACTTGTCGGGGAATTGTAATTGGAACTCGCAAGAAGCGAAATAAATTCTTCAACGAAACGTAGTTCTGCGTAGATTGTGGCTAAAAGTGACGCTTTTCTTGTTGACCTCCTATTTAAAGCGAAACCCTTCTTCCGAAAATCAAAATTATAACAACCAATCATACACAGTTGACAACAAAAACTATCCCCTCAACGTGCGTTAATAGACCAAAAAATAGAGGTCGAATAATTTCTCTAAATCAATTTGTTATCAGACATTAAGAGAATAAATCCTAACTTAAATTCTAAGAAAAATAAAATTTCATCTCTCTTAACTACACAGAAAAGGTAATAAATCACATCCACCTGTCAATTAAATTAAGCATTTACATTTGATTACAGATAAAAACCAAACAAAATTCCCGGAAAAAAATGTAAACAAAAACAACCTTGACCGCTTTCTCGTATGACACAATAATTCCCATGCAGTTACATAGACCAACGACAAATTAATAAAATTTAATTACAAATGTTAATTACATAAGGAGACCGCTCTTGTCCATCTTAATTAAGATGTTCGAACATTTCATCCTGCTAGAGGAAATAAACCCAGCAATAAATATTTACTTCTTATTCTACATTGGAAACTAAAAAACTTTCGAGGGAAACGTTTCTTCCGTACACTTGCCATTTTTAAAAAAAACTTCTAAAAGCGAGATTTTTGTTTTGAGCTAGGAAGCTGTTCTGTCAAGAATTTGGCGCATCCTCTAATTCGGAAATGAAAATATCAGTCACACCTAATCTAAGGTACCTATCTAAACAATTTTTCGCTTCCATACATGTCCAAGACATGTCATAATCCTAATTTATATACCATGTTCAATTGAAAAATGACCATGCATTCGAAAATTTTTTCGAACCTAAGAAGCGCCTTCTGATTTTGACCATCAGGAGGTATCAACATTTCTATTTATGCCTTGAGAGAAACGCACTTGTGTGTTTATGTGAAAAACTATGTAATATACCTACAAATTTATATTAAATAATTAACAAACATTCTAGAAACAGAACACGGATAAGCACTTCGCAGAGAATACACATAAGAGTATACAATCATTGAATAATATATTATTCAATGATACAATACAATTAGCTTCAACATTTAAAAACCGTTATGCATATCGACCTGATGATGAAAAAAAAACATAATAATAACCTTTACGGAAATAAGTAACCTGATATTTAAGCAAGGTTAATATCTACAAGTTTTCTTGAGATTCCGTAATGACACCCGTAGTAGTGCAAGGTATGTACATTTAAAAGCAAATCACTTTGTTTTGGTTCTGATTTCCTTGTACCTTAACTGGTCGAGTAATTTCTAGTGTTATTTACAGTACTCGACCGCAATACTATACTCGTCAGAGGTAAGTGTTAAGTAGTGGTACATTGAAATAAAATAAGGAAATGCTACTGTAAATTAAGTTCGATGTTTCGCGTGTAGGTAGGGGCCCTGCTCTGTTTTTTTCTACTTTGAGGGATACGACTTGCGATTTCAAATTCACTGATCTTAAAATTAGAGATTTTAATATTCTCCAAGATATTGCATGGGTAGGTATTGTCTTCTTTAAGTAGTGCAAAAGAATAACAACAATTTGTTTTATTACAAGTTAAACCAAGCTGAAAGCCTCAGTTCCTATTTCCTACTATTATAAACCATAACAATACTGGTATGGTACTCCAATGGAACTGGATTTTTGGAGGCCACTACTAAATAAATTTCTTTCATTCATTATAACAGCCATTTACGTTGTAAGCGAAATGACTAAAATTCTTCCAACTTACACATCTTATAGAGTTATACCACTAACAGATGAGGAAAGTTTACTCCTGATACTTAGGCAGACCATGTGGCATCGTCTATTTCATAGCGACCTAAAGGTTTGGCAAGTTTGCTGGCGGACAGTACTTTCTGCTTGCCAAGTGTAAATGAGCGGAAAATGCACTAGCCTGCCATTCGCTACTTGCCCGTAAGCGACAATAAGTTGAGGACCTGGCTAGTTTAGTGGCCGGCGACTTTCCTTTCTGGGCTTGCAAATTTTTGTAGTTGCTGCGTGTAAATGGTGTGGGAAGTTATTTTAAAACATTTTTCAACAACTCTTCAAATTTTTACAGGTGACAATCTCATGAAGTTCTTGTAAGCATTTGGATCTTTTGTTGAAATCTTTTTTATTAACAGGGCAGATACCCCCAGAGGATCCTTACATTTTCTTACCCATATTCGTTTTCTTTTGTTTCTCTTAGAATTAATATCGTTGATTAATGTTGCCGCAATAGCAATACTATAATATTTTTGTATTATACTAGATGTACGTATTCTGTGATACTATGGTATAAGTTTTCCTACAATTGCACAAAGATTGATGAGGTCATGATTTTTCCAAAAACATTTGCTTTAGTGACGATTGTACTTTTGTAACTTTTGTAAGTACCTATTGGGATAACGAAATCCGCGTTTGTTTCGAGAAGATCGCAGCCAATTTCCGCAGAAAATCAATGTGTGTGCAGGTTTCTTGGGAATCCAATTATTGGGTCGATATTTCTTGAAGCAAATTTAGCAGGAGAAAATAAATCTATTAAAAGACGTGATATGTGCTCCGATCACACAATCTTTGGAGAGTCAAATGGTGAAAAAGTAGACATGCTGCTAGACGAAATTGGCATTTTCAGCAAGACGGTGTTCCACTACAGTATGCTCTGTCATGTCAATGGCTCAATCGATGGTATCCTGGTAGCGGGATTGGCAGAGACGCGTGCCATAGAATGGCAACCAGTAACCACGGTCTCCCTACTCGGCTCCGCTTTATTTCTTACTTTAGATAGGTACTGTTAGTAATTCTCCCAAGATCTTTTCTTTTATTTTGTCAGGATTTTTTAATAACAAAACTTCAAAAATTTTATCACAATGCTAAACTTGATATAACAAAACAAAACATTGCTCCATCTAGTAATTGCCCCTCTTCCAACAATTACTGCAGAACAAAACAAGCACAATGAATTTGTATAATGCGCGTTGGTATACATTCTCATTACCATCCTTGACGTCAACTATACGAATGCTTTCTTGAATGAGGCCCCCATTTTCACTATGGTCTAATTATAGATGCCCATCATACCCAAGGATACTATATAATATAATATAGTATCCTTGGCCCATACTCACATCGTGTTGTGTTTTAAGTACACTAGAGTGATTCATACTTTTAAACAAGTAAATGTTAAAACTAGACAATATGATTCAGTAGAACTCTCCATTTTGTCTTGTATTTAGTACTGATTGTACACACTAACTGTATAACCAATGGTTTTAGAGTTAACTTTTAGTTAGTGTATTGTTTCGTTCGTATGGATTACAAGATGCTTACCCTCTCCTACATGTATCACACAGAAATGATTTAGTATATATCCCCAATTTTTTTTACCAATCGTGGTTAATAAAATGATGAGAAGTAATGTAACCTACAGACGACCCGCGCCAAGGTGCAGCACTAGCGCACCGCTGTTTCCTAGCAACAGCGGCGTATACACGTTTTTCAGTCACCATTGGCAAGAATTTCTACCAGTAACGCCACCATTTATGTCTTTGAATTTGTCGTTCAACGCGAATCGCCTATACCCGCTGTACGTCCCTTATCTTCTGAGTTGGTTAATGAAAAATTTGATATTTGAAAAAAAACTACATTTCTAAATCAACAACATATATTTTAACATTTATAAAATATGTCTAAATATTTATTGTATCAGTTCCGTTTTAATTCAGAGCACAATTGTTATTTTGTTATTCTGATATCATAATTAAACATGTAATAAACTATGGTCTACATTATACAAACATACAAATTGAAGTACGTAAAAAAGCTTACATTGGTGTTAATTACAATACAAAATACACTAATTCGTCATATGCACATTTTTGCCATAAAAAAGATCATTGTTTATTGGTCCAAGGCTAATGATAAAGTTTGATTTCTATCAAAGTCAAGCGCACGCCTATGTATATATAGTATGGTTAACATGGTAAAGGGATCAAAATGAACTTATGTAAATATTATAAAAACACCTACCAAAATTACTGTCGTCTACTGGCCGTAACAACACGTTCTCTACTATCTTCCCTATTTACCGAATTTCGTCGAGGCGGCGAATTCCCACTGGAACCTGTCCTATTCTTTCGCGACCTTTTAAATTTGGCCATATCCTCACCAAACACATCACCTGTTCTAAGGGCAGAAATCAAATCATCAAACTCTCCTTTAGCGCCGCCGTTGTCCCCGTTCTTTAGGTTTATACTTTTGCTAATTGTCGACAAAATACCTTCACGCGTGTGCTTCCTCTCCAAGGTGAGCTTCTTTAATTCCGCCTCTTGTTTTGCCCGTTTCTCTTCCTCCTCTTGACGCTTGCGCATATTCTCATTGTCCTGGCGCGCCTCCATGAACGACGTCAAGAACGAATCGAAAATACCGAAGAATTCGTCTGGTTGCATCGCCGTCGGATCTTCACCAAACAATCGCACCGCTCTTTCAAATCGAGTCTGAAACATTAACGTTGCAAACATCAAAATGTTTGGTCGTTTATCTACCTTCATATCTTGGAATTGATCTTCCACTTCTGCCAAGCGACAGGTAGCAGTCGCTTGAAACTCTCGCATTACAGGAACAAATTTATCGTTAGCTAATGGGCTTTGTCCTCGATGAAATTCAATTTCACGAGCTACATCTTTGAGACCTGCTCGAAGTTGGCCCATATCCTTGGTCAACTCCCCTAATGAGACTTTAGCAGCATCTCGGATATGTGGTACATCTTCATCTAACCGTAGAATGTCTCTAAACTGTAATAAAAGTGTCACCTGCATTCAGTTTACGCAGAATTCTCACCTTCTTCTCGAGAATCTGCACCAAATAGTGCAAGAGAGTTGTTCCCTTGGCGGCGCTCGATTTAGTGTCGGCTAGCCGGTTCAGTGAAGCCAATCTAAACCCAATGGCGTTCCCTCGAGCCCCTCGATTCATGTAATTACCTAATGCTAGTACTATTTCTAATAACCGCCGAAGACGGCGAGATCGCGCCACCTCTCTAGACGCCTCCATCACACTTGAAATCCGAGGTAGAATCTCGTGTAAAGTCACTTGGAAGCGTTTTTTATAATGCAGACTTCTTAATCGTTGCTCGTAATGTGGAACCCTACAATGAAAATTATGGATTACAGCTAGGGATAGAATAATCTCACTTTGAAATTTCATAAAGAAATCGATCAGCTCTCGCCAGCGAGTCAATATCACCACTGTGGTCTTCTAACAGTGCTTGCTCTTCAGGACTAGGAGTAAACTTTAACAGCTGCTCGACCATATCTATGGGTAACTGCTCTTTGTAATCCATGCTCAAAATTGCTTTGGAAATGTCCTCATCAGACATCTTCAGTTTCGATAGTAATATCGTACAATTTTGGGCACGTCTTCCGTCAATAACCGAAAGAACCTTATTTCGGTTTTTACCTAATTGTCTCAGATCTTCGACGGAACCGTCATTCTAAGGACGACAATCAGAGGTTATCTGCAATTTAAACCATCGTCCAAGTACTTACCGCCACCCCATTCTTTTGGTAGGCGCAAAATAGCTTATCAATGCAATCCAGCTCCATAGTACTGTACAATTTTGTATCGTCGAGTTCACTCCAAATGGTTCCGGAAACTTTCGATTCGGGTAGTTTGGACCAGTTGAATGATTTGAGCGGATTCGACGGTTGGGGTATATTTTTCTTGGCCACTTCGATTTTGAGAGGCGCAACGGGTGGTGCGAGTGGCGCGCAAGGTGGCGGTGGAGGACCGGGAGCTGGAGGTGGGGGTGGTGCAAGCGGCGGCGGGGGTGGAGGCGGGCCGGAATTAAAACTACTGTATTCTAAATTATTTACATCTACTACCGATTGTAGCCCTATCACTTTAGCGTCATCAGGTATGCTACCCGAACTAACGAGCCTTTCTAAGCGGAATCGTTCGCCTCGTTCACATGAAACTTGACGGTCCAAATCGGCAGCTCTGTATTCCAGTTCCCCTAGCCGTTGGCGGGTATCGATGTGAGCTGCCGTTTCTTTTTCCAAACGCTCTTTTATTCGAGCTAGACTAGATTCGAAATCTTCTTTTTCTTGCGTACGTTGATCGAGCTCCTGCTCTTTCTTCGCCAATCGATTGGATAAGTCCACATTTTCGTGTTCAAGTTCCTCGGCCTTGTTTCGGGCGGCTACGAGTTCCTCTTCTTTGGCAAGTAAGTGTACGATTTCTTTCACGTTGATATCGATAGGCGCTACGTCTGGGTTTTTAGGTTTCGTTGTGACCTCCACTTCGCTTTGCTGCAGAACGATCTGTTGGACGATCCGATCAAATAGCAACCAGTGCTGGGGATGCGAGCCATAGTCTAAAGGTATAAGTAAGCAATGCTCTAATAGTGAGAGGAAGTGAGGGTAGGCAGGCGTGTGACTAAGTTTCTTTCGTATGACTTCAAACATTGACGTTGCGCTTTTTGTATCAACATGTTCCAACTCGAACTTTCTCGCCAGTTCTTTTTCATCTTCATTTCGTACCATTTCGAAAAAATCGAGATGCCTGTCCAGTGTTTCGTTCTCGTGCCGTCGAAGTTTGTCAATAACCGGTTGTATCCCTAACATAAGGAACTCGTATCGTAAATGCAAGCGAAACTCTAAATTCTCCTGCCCTAATCCGTAGTTGAGCATGGCGTTAATAAAAGACATTATGGCAGTTTTTAGATTGACTTCGTCCCTGTACTTTCCGACGTCGCGGTCCAAGTCGTTGATTATCCCTTGAAACCTCGTCCTCTCAAAAGCGTACTGTTGGTAATGTAGCATCGCATCCAGCACCTTCTTATGGCCGCCCGAGACCAAGCACACTGCGCCCAGAATTTCTAAAACAGCTATTTTGGTTTTTATGTTGTCAGTACTCAATGACTGAGCTATTGTGTTTATGCTGACTGGATGCGCTAACACATGTGCTCTGCCGGTCTGGAAACGAATTACTAATTTAGTAGATGATATTACAAGACTTGACATAAGTATCCATGGTTGAATGGTGAAAATAGCCATGATGCATGAAGCGATTATAGTTTTATGGCTCCCGTTACTTTAATTATAATAAGACAGTTAGGGTCAATATAAACGTTTTTCTAAAAATCGCTACTAAATGGAGCGCAAACTATACTTACGGAATTATTCATAAGCGCTTTAACGCAACCAATGATGCTGGTGTGTATCGAACTTTCTGCTGTAGAATAATCCATCCGCTCTAAAAATTGCAGCAAGGCCGGCAGCCCATCCAGTTCGATAAATTTGATGACAAAACTGTGGGTGGAAGTACGCAAGGCCGTCTTCAACCCATCAATTTGTTTGGTTCTTGACCTCAGATCTTCATCGACATTACCATCAGGATATGCCAACTAAAAATAGGGGTGTCATGAATATGGAAAATAACCAATATAAAAATTTACTGTGGCAAGTGCTCGCAACCTTTCAACGTAATGTTCGGGAGCTCGCGCTTGGTCCACAACGTCTTCGCCTCCCTTACGCGAGCAGTAAATCTGCCATTTCTTCTGCGGTGGCAAATTCATCATGGCAGTCTTATTAGGTGCGGTTAGATCCAGTTCCTCCTACAAGTTAGTCGTCTAATTATCAAGAAACAATGTGATAAAAGCCATTCACTCAATGATAAAAGCATCATATCTAAGGAACAATAATATAATTATCGGCGCTACTCATTTACAACTTTCACGCAAAGTATTTAGGGTAGCTCAAATTCAATTTTGCGTGCATTGGTCCCATAAAAGGTTACAGATTGGCACCAGATATAATTTCACCGGAACTCGAATATATTTTCTTCTGTTTAAATAATTAGTAACGAGGTTAATTTTAATTAATATTCTTACCACAAGTTCTGCGAATTTAGCATCTAATTCATCTTGTGCCGGTATTGGCTGCGTTGGTGTCATCGCTTGCAGTGAAAGTGTTCCTGTATTTTCCACGACACAGTATGTTATCTCAGGTGGTTCATCGTCCTAAAAGTACGATATGTCATTAGAGACTCTCTCGGTTAATGGATTTTCTATTATAAACGATCGTACAAGCACGTATTTTTCACAATATTCTATGCATAATCGTTTTGATTTCACATTCGTCATCCCTACAATTGTTTGAAAAATGCCCCCGGCCTTGGTCCCGGCAAGATTACTTTTCATCAGCAGGTAGCACAAAAAAGAAGAAATTTTTAACCGAGGTGCATATTTGTTTCACTATTTGTTACAGTGATTCGGTTTCGAATTGGGTATTCTGTTAAAGTCTATTCGGTTCAGTGGTTTACACATTGGATATAATTTGCCAGGAAAAACCTCTTAGAGATGGTTTAGTTCAGCGAAAGTGAAACAATTGATAACCATAGCTAATAAAAAATGTTAAAATCACGATGGGAGAGTTTGAGTCGAATTTGCTATTACCGTAATAAGATGGACACTGTAACAAGCGCTTAGTCGTTTTCAAAAATGTGATTTTAAATTTGTATTTTGTTCGGGAACACATATGTATACCGCTTCATAGCAAACGTGAACAAAAATATGTCTGTAAATAAAAAGCGACCACTGTTAAGCGATTTGTCATTTTAGGGTGTTCCTAAAGATGTCGAATGTGTAGTTTTTTTACCCACTTCTTAAACGATGTTCCCAAGGCTCAGTGTCACTTATGTAGCGACAAATCTCGCATTCATAATTTTTTTATCTTTATGATAAAGGCAGTCCGTTTTTTTCATTTTAATTGAATGTGGATCAGGTTAAATATGCGAAATTGTCGCTATTATTTAAATGAATAGGACATTGTAAAGCCGGATTTATAGTTCCGTAGCCGTAAGAACGTAAGCCGTTAACGAAAATTAATACGATTTATAGTTACCGTAGTGGCAAGAGATGAGCTTGCGTATTAGTACGAAACGAATTCTGCCATTGTCTGTCATCTGTCAGTAAGAGTAACGTGCTATTCAAAATAATAATAACCAACAGTGTCAATAATTATTGTAAATAAAGTATAAACGACACGAACGTCAGGATAAACTCAACTGTTTGAATTATCCGAGTACTACCGAAGACAAGCGAGTTAGCACGATTTACCGTAAGAAATAAGAATTGGGCATTTCCTACGTACCGTAACCCTTCTAACGCAACGTTAAAGCGAATTATCAATGTTCACACCCAACAAGTAGGGTTTAATTCCAAACGTTACGGTACGGTGTTGCGGGTACGGAACTATAAATTCAGCTTAAGTTAAATTTGCAGGTCCTTCTTTGTGTAAAATTTACTTATCCATAAAAATTTTTGCAATAAAATGGACTGGTGCATTAGAAGTTAATCAGTGTGGATAAGGCATCCTTGTTTAAGTGATTAGACAAGTGTTTTTTAAAGTACGACGAAAATACTGTCTTAGGAAAAGTGGAAGTGGAGTTCACGATCACACGTTGGTTATAAAAAAAATGAAAAATTATTTTAAGGACCGCCAAGCACGCCTAGATATTTTCAGTTTTTGCGGTATAAGGAATTTAATTTAGGTAGCGTTGGGGAACTTAGATTTTAGATTTAAGGTGTTTTAAAGGTTTTGTCACGTGTGTTTATGAACCTAGTATATTTCCAGTCTCTGGTTAATTTGGGCAAGCCGAGTGGTTATTTGTAAAACACAAAATTTAAAATGTGTTCGTGAAAATAAAGTAATTACATTTTGTTTAAAAATGCTTATGGGCCTGATACGTACAGAAAAATATTTAAAAAAAGGTGTGTTCCTAATTAATTATCTCGTTACACATACGCGCCTATCCAGTAGTTCATGTTTGTCAAGGATTACCCTTCGATTTTGCTAACTCTTGTTGGTAATTTATCGTATCTATACACGGAAGATTCCACTTCCTTGAATGAACAACCTGTTGAATATCGACAACTTCCTAAATCAATACAAAACTCAAAGCCATCAGATCCTACTTTCGTTGTTAGAAAAGCCATCTGAGATCCACTGAATGTGGGCGTAAGACATACACAAGAATGTAAGGCCGAGAAATAAATATAGCAATAAACCAGATGATTTCATTCCATTCGCTTGATTTGTTTAAAGTAAAAGCATTTGTTTTGAATATAGAAAGTATCCAGAAACAAATATAGCGTCATCACGCTCAGGGGTCTGGATTAATAAAACATTAAGTAGCACTTATTTTCACCACAAGAACATAAATTCAGATGATTAAGTGAAGTTGAAAAAAAAACACAAAGAAATTTCCATTTAGTAACGCAAACCATAAAGAGATTGAATCTCCTTATTTGGTTTGTCGAGGTGCTGTTATGTCAAGAACAAGGATTTTATTTAATTTAATTAACCAAGTTTCGATTTAGAACAAAGCAATTTAAGCTTCATAGATTCAGTTGGGTGATTAATATTACTTAATATCGAACCAAGAATGATTTCACTTTTTTTACTCATCCCAATTAGATAATGGGTGTCGATTTTTTAATAATAGGTAGGTATTAAATGCGTGATTATCGAAATCTGTAGTGTGTGTAAATTAAGAAATCACGAGTCCACGATGACAAGCTCTTTCCTGATCTCGTCTTTTGATAATACCATCAGCGTCGTTAAAATTTATTCACACATTTGTAATTAATTAGATAAAAGGCGGTTGCAACAACTGCTTCACGAAAAATAAGGGTAATTAAGGCTGCACACTCCTTTAACTTAAAATTATTACACTGCAAAATGTGGAAATGTATTATAGGTACTTTCTAAATTAGTAAATTTGCGGTAGCAGCGTAAAGCAAGTTCAGTAATTAACGTTCAATAGAAGGAAAGTCGAATGCAAAATGTATAAATATAAATTAATTTATTCTAAGATATTTGTACTTGTAAAGACATTAAGGAATTTGTCAAACAGAAATGTCGACAACCTCGTTGAAAGTTTGATAAATAGTTAATCAGTTGTACCAGTGTGTTTAAAATTAGGCGGTGAGAGGACCAAAATAAAGATTTTTTGCAAATAAACTAAGGATACAAACTCCAGCCTATGTTTTTGTGTATACTTATTTCCAGTGTTGTCGAGGCGTTGTGTTTCGAGGCGCAATTTTAGATTTGTGCTCCAGGACTTTGCTTTTGCCCTTTCTGCCCCTTCATAGTTTCGATCGTTTAAATTAATCCCGATGGTCATTTTGTTATTAAAACCTTTCTTTTCTTCGCGGACGTGCTTTTCGATGAGTCAATGATTACAACTTTTGGGGAGGCAAAGTTTCTGGTCAACGGCACCAGCACGATCCGCCTCATTTCACTGTTAAAGAAGAGATTTGAGGCATTAAATTTTATTGTGCACCAGGCTGCTGAAGATGCTGACCTAACGATTGTGAGGAAAGCGATCAATGCGACTTCATCTTTTGATTCAGTTTTTGTTGTGGAAGACTCGACAGGAAACAACATCACAACATCAATAAGGAATGAAGGGATGAAAGAGGAATAAGACTGGACTCACTCCAGTGACAACAACTATAGATCCTGCTCCGGAAGCGCTCTTTAAATTCATTTTCTGCAGTTGCACAAAAGGATGTGGTCCAGTATGTGACTGTAGACTCCATCATTTGCATGCACTACAACGGAGACTGTGAACATATCACAGAAGTTTCAATTGACGAGGAAACCGAAAATGCAACCCTGACCGCCGTTAACTATCTTTTCGCTACTGAAAATGGTGAGGAAGAGGAGGATACCGAAGAGGAGAATATCCAAGAGGCCGATGACACTCGACCAAAGTGACCAAACCCAGAAATTGACATTGATCAACCTGGTCCTTCCAGAATACTCAAATTCTAAAGGCACTTGTGGCGTAGGTTATTAGAATACCTAATTACTAGTAGATAATTCGTAAATAATAAGTGCAATTTCCTGTGAAAAGGGCGCGTTTTTGCGAATTTAAAGAATAAACTTTGATATAATATAGCTCAGAAAACATTAGTTTAATGGAAACATGTTCCAGACAAAACTTGTATTGTCCTTTACTTTTGGTTGGACGCAACCGAAAAGGAGGTAATGTCAAAAAAACGCCGCCATTTTCTCAAAATGGCTACGTTTCTCAGGACAGTACAATATCACAAATGCTGTTAAAGACGTAAAACGGAACTAACATGTCAAATTTCAATGGATTATTTTATAGAAAAAGTCAGTCCATTAACCATTGTCCCAATAATCGTTACCATGGATATTAAGCTACACTTAAACTAAGCTCCGCTTAAACTTTTTCGGTGCATACGACCATTATGGATGCAGATTTTGCAGTTTCTATGGGCAAAAGATGGACAGGATTCATATTTTAAATCCTGTAGATATTCAAATAATTTTTGAAGATACGACATTCTACAGACATTCGTTAGGTCGTTTAAAAAGGGTTCTTATTCCAATCATCATATTGAAGATTCGAATCCTTATAAAGAAATTCGAATGCTCTTAAAAGGATTTGAATCATCTTTTAGATCGCTTTGGATCAACGCCATGGAAAAATTGTATCAATATTATAAGTGGCCACATTCTATTTTACTAAACGTCAAAATTCCAACCCGCCCAAATCATTATTATTATTATCCCTCTCTTGTTTTGGGCCCTCAACAGGCATGCGCCCAATTACAGAGTGACCCGCATAATGCTATTTAGAGGTGCCTCTGCAGAAGGTCTTAAGTTGGTCTACTCCGGTATTCCCAATTCGGAGTAGCTGGTAGAATACTCGGAACTGGTAATTTCCATCTCCGCCACAAATGAAAAATTCACCTCAACCCAGGTTCGAACACCCGACCTTCGGATTTATAACCCAATGCTCTACCACTGAGCCATAAATCCGATCCTTAAAGGAAACGGGCCGTACTGGATACAAACAAAATATTACACTTTACCTTAGTTATACAGCGTCTAAAACTACCCCTTGAACCGTTCAACCTTAAAATACTGCATCATACTCTCTTCGGCCCCATGAAATGAAATCGAAAGTTGATACTGAATCCTGGCTCGTAGCGGGAAGGATTATTGATTTCGAAATCCAAGGTATTGATCGATGCTACGTAATCCAAATGTCAGAGTTAGTTTTATTGTAACGTATTAATTGCATACAATGCTGTTTGCGGCAAATCAGTAACGCTGACGTCACCTTACTGAACCGAACTAAAATAAAAAACTAAGATAAACCTACAAAATGGCGACCAATTGTTCCAACGACCACCTTTACTCGTTCAACCAATAAACTTTATCCCCTTTGACCAATCCCACGTTTATGAGGATAATTAGTCAGAAACCACTGTCGTTAAAAATCGTGATCAGTTCCCAGGCTGCTTAATGACCTTATAACGAACAAATCGGAATCAGCCGTTTGGTTACGTAAAGTCCATTAATTTTGCGTTATCTCCCACTAGACGGGCGCCACATACTTAATCGGTCACGGCTGCACCTAGTAACTATTGACTTACAAAACATAGAGCAACAAAACTATTGAGAAAACAGTCGGGTAACAAAATCTGCCCTACAATGCAATTACCCTGTATACCTTATAATAGTTGCCCCTAAAAACGAGCAAAGTAATTTTTTATTTGACAAAACTTCTCATTGAAAATCTAGTATTTTGGCATTCGAAGCGTTTTAAAATATCTGTCTAGTCCGTCTCACCTTGACAGGGAATTGTGGGAGCGAGGCGAGGCAATGCAATCCTTAAGGGAGTTTGTAGCGTGGCGATGGCGATTTTAATTTGAATATTAAATGTCATGATTTCTAACGTGAAATGTCATTTTAATGCGTTTGTTTTGTGCTCTGATAATTAACAATTTCATTTCTGGAAGTTGATGAGATGCTAACAGGGTAGAAGGAGGAAAAGCGAGCTGTGTCTTTTCCGACAGCTGAAAGGGTGAAGTGGATATCGAGATCCAGTCCAATGTGAAGATTACAGAGGAGTGCATTACTCGCGGAGATGAGGCTGTAAAGGCCAACAGACACAAAAAAGAGAACGAGATTGCCAACATGCGATTTCCACGTTTTTGGACACATGAAGAAGCACTTGAAAGGTCGCCGTTTCATGTCGGATGCAGAGGTGCACTATATTTTTGTATTTTTTCTCGTTCCCGTAGTTATTTCGGGAAGTGTTTCAGAGTACACCTTTACGCCTTCATGTCGGTCCGTCAAGTCTCTATCTGCCGTAGTTTCGACTGTAAAATGTGAAATTCCTTTTTTCCCGTTTCCGTTCCCGTGGGAATTTCTGGAAGTGTTTGACATATCTTAACACAAACAACCGTAGTTATTAATGTATCCCCATTCCATAGAAAATGGGTTGTCGAAGAGGATCTTTCCATCTCTGAGACTTGGCCACAAGTCCAGCGCTTAATTTTGTGGCTAGTGTCGCTGGTTTCTCGGGAATGGGGATTGTGGCAATTATGCAAAAAATCGACTTTCGGATTCGTGGTTTACGACCTTTAGAACATAAAGAAAAGAATTCACGAAAATATCGAGATTACAATATTTCAGGACTGAATAAGAACAGTAGAGTATGTTTAATTAAATTAGAAGAACACCTAGAAATCACCATGTAATCTCTGGCAATTCTCTCCTTCTTTAGAAGCTATGATATCGTGTGAGAAAGCAGTTGCACTCAAGCCTGAATTATCCTAAGTTCATTCATGTTTGAAGTTTAAATAAAGATGAAAAGAGTGCCCTGCAGCATAATATGGTAAACATTTCAATTTGGATCTCACCTTAAACTTGGTCGTTAGTAGAGATCTCGCTTTATTCGTTTCCGCTGCCGTTTTACATCTACCTATTTTCATCTTTTTTTTTAATTATAAGGTTAAATTATTCTCCAAAGTATGACGATAGCATCACTCTTCCTTTCAATCTATTCACATCAAGCGACTTGACATTTTAGCACCATCACGAATTACCCTAGGTGCTGATAGGTCACGGAAACAATATCATTTGAACATTACAATATTTTCTTCTATAACGATGATGACGGCATTACTAAAATTTCGTAAGTTTAGATGAAACCTTTTCGAGACTCTTAAGCAACAATAGTTTCGATGACTGTTTAGCCGGTCAAATTTCAAGTATGTATTAAAGATAGAGGCTTGAGGCGACTGGACAAGGCGTTTAATTAAGATACTGAAACGCGCCCTCTCAGCTAATTATGTATTCATAGCCGAATTCTAATATTGCGCTGACAAAAAATTGAACGAGGCCAATTCGTGTTAACCTAATAAAGTCCGATGCCGGTCAATCGGAATGATCACGCTCAGAATTAACTTTGTGTCTATTGTTTGGACAGCACTTCAAGCGATAAACCTTGAGGCGGCCGAAAACTTTCAAAACTAAAAGTAAAAATTTTCGATTTCGGAAACGAAGCGAATTAAATAAATAAATTAGGAAGTCGTATGGGTCCACATTCTTCACGTCATTGAGAGTATAGTGAAAGTGGTTTGTGAAGGTGTTAGCATACCAAATGACTAATTAACTCCTTATCTTGACTATTGGGAAGAGATGATTACGCGCTTATATTGTAAGCCATATTAAGGCATACACTTGCTTTTTTTTCACCATAAATTAGGCCACCATTTGTGGTTACGTGGAAATTTACTGTCGTTGGTAGAATAGATTTTCTATACCTTGGTCTGCAATGTGCCACTGAGAGATGATGAGCCTTCCCAAATTCGGTTTAATAAATAGTTCAGCGAAATGTAGGGGATAAATGATAATTCCCTTCAGATGTAACTCAATAGGTTTTTTATGGGCCTAACGCAGGAAAAAGGATATTCAAAAATCAGTTATCTGAATAGTAAAGCTTTCATCACTGAACGTGCCGAGGTGGTCAATGCACTAATGCCCAAAGGCGAAGAAAAGCTGGGTTGTACACTACACACTGATGAAATGAACAGGGAGTCGCGATAACGTACAGGTCGCTTGCTAAGAATGGGACTACGAAAATTAGGTCACGAAGTTAGTGAAGAAGCAAAGCAAACAGAGTTCTTCGCAGTAAGCGCATTCTGTAATTCGCATTGGGTACATTGTACCATCGTATTCTCGACGTTGCTTTTCTCGTAATAGCGGCATTGGCTATTGAAGACTTGAGAGACGCCAGATTAATTTCGTTTTACATATTGCGCAAAATACAAAACAGGGGAGGTATATTCGCACGAATTAAAATACTCTACGCGTGAGCTGCACCGGAGTTGATGCACTCTCATCTCCCAAATAACCTAATCCATTATCG